AGCCAACAGTGTGACGCGGCAGCTAAAAAGCCAATGCAATTCTGGGCTGCATCAATAGGAGTATAGCATCTAGATCAAGGGAAGTAATAGTGCCACTGTATTCTGCTCTGGTCAGACCTCACCTGGAGTACTGTGTCCAGTTCTGGGCACCACAGTTCAAGAAGGACATTGACAAACTGGAACGTGTCCAGAGGAGGGCAACCAAAATGGTCAAAGGCCTGGAAACGATGCCTTATGAGGAACGGCTAAGAGAGCTGGGCATGTTTAGCCTGGAGAAGAGGAGGTTAAGGGGTGATATGATAGCCATGTTCAAATATATAAAAGGATGTCACATAGAGGAGGGAGAAAGGTTGTTTTCTGCTGCTCCAGAGAAGCGGACACGGAGCAATGGATCCAAACTACAAGAAAGAAGATTCCACCTAAACATTAGGAAGAACTTCCTGACAGTAAGAGCTGTTCGACAGTGGAATTTGCTGCCAAGGAGTGTGGTGGAGTCTCCTTCTTTGGAGGTCTTTAAGCAGAGGCTTGACAACCATATGTCAGGAGTGCTCTGATGGTGTTTCCCGCTTGGCAGGGGGTTGGACTCGATGTCCCTTGTGGTCTCTTCCAACTCTATGATTCTATGATTCTATGATTCTAAGAATGTGACATGACTATTTACAGACAGAGGTTAATTTGTTTTAGTCTTTTTTGCGGTTGAGTTGGGAATACCTCAAGAACAAGTGGTAAAGGACAAAAAACAGATTCCTCCCCCCCCCCCCAAAAAATACGTTGTAGCGATTGTTCTGTAAAAAAGAAAGTAACTGAAAAAGAAGCTAATTTTAAATCAAGGATTCTGTGAATTCCAGACTTTTTACAATAGTACCACTATATTATACAAATAAGAGTGATATTTTTTCACCATCTGTGCATGCTGTTTTGAATAGCAAATTGTTAAGACACAATCAGCAACACTATTTAAGAGCAGCACTCTAAAAATGCCTATTATAAATATTCCCTGAAGGACTTATTATATCTAGATGATACAAACAATGTCCATAAAATGTCGGCAAACTAAATATCAACATGGTACCAAGGACAAAGCCAAGAGATTAACATAGTTTCCCTTGTCTTCTTTACGGATACAATATTTTGCCACAGGACCGAAGGAGAAACATAACCCACAGTATTTGCTGGGGTGGAATGAACACAAGGAAGCAAACCAAAAATGAGCCCCACTGAGCTGCACCCATAAAACATTTTAAATGAATGTTTCTGATGGCAAGTTAATATGCAGCACTCTAACAAAAGTTGTTTTGAGCTAGACAGTTTTATAACAAACTTTACTTCCTTTTCACTAGCCTCAGATTTTTCGTTTTCTGCACCAGGGGACTGGAGTCAAGGGATAAAGCCAAGTCAGGACCAAACTAAGAGGCAAGGCTGAAGAGCAAGCTATAAATCAGGACCAGAGGAGGACAAAAGGAGACAGGAATGCACCAAAGCTCATCAAGACTCTATTGCTCAGGCAAGGCTCAACTGGAACAGAAAGACAACTTCTACTCCTTCCTGTCCAGGAAGATCCAATGGCTAGCTTTGGAAGGAAGAGTCTGACAAAGTTGGGAGTTGCCAACCTGGTGCCCATAAGCAGCACAGTGACTGCGAAGACCTTTATTGGTGCCCCACCTCCCCACGGAGCTCTTCCATCCGGTAAAAGGGGAATTGGACATTTCAGGGCGTATTGGCTTCCCGTGTACACCAACGGCCCTGGGAGGGGGTGGTGTGGGGGTAATAATTTGTTATTATTTTTATCATAACCCTAATTTATTATTTATACCACATGGGTGAGCTACATACAGATTTCAGTATTCTCACTTTTAGTCCTGGGCACCATCTCACTCATCTGGGATCACCAGCAACAACTCGGTCCTGACATCTATACATCAAACATGTGCCTTCTCCAAAAATATGGTTCCAGGAAAACATGACTATGGGCTGGATTCAACAACCCAGTTCCATTAGTGGAAAACAGCACAAGAATTCCCACTAGCACAATGGGGCTTTACCTCCCCACCTCTCCCAAAACCATTCTGGAGGGTCAGTGAAAACTCCCAGAACAGTATGTGGTGGGAGGGAGGGGGGAGATTGTTCTGTTGGGCAGGCAGAAATGCTTATGCTGACTGAATGATCTCCATAGCAAAGAGTTTAATTCCACTCCACAATCTCTTCCCACACACTGTCAGCTTTTCTAGACTGCAAGTAATGTTCATCACCTATGGAAGCAAGCAGGTCACCATACATTCAACATGCTAACCACAACTCATGTCCCTATGTCCCTAATTATTGGATCCTGCACACTACAAGTATTCAACCACTACCAGAAAATGTATGCTCAGCATTAAATCATGTAGATGAAAGGTAGGTCTCTAAAGGTTTCCTATTGTGCCTTCTTACACAAAGATTCTCATTTTCTGTAACCGTCTCTCTGAGGACCAAGGAACATATTATGTTAAAAGCATACTCAGATTTCTGTGCAAACCACCGAATCCCTAATCTGGACCGGGTCTGCAATGCAGGTAAAAAAAGGGGGATAACCTTTCACCTTCCTCTTCATGATCCCAAAGAAAACTGCACATGCATGCACACACATCAGAAGGAAGCCTCTGTTGATGCCAGATCTGGGTGGGAAGGTGTTGCAACTGCTATTTAAAATGCACATACACAAATGCAAGTATGTTTTGCAAACAACTCTTGGATGATCTTTTCAAGTAACAGAATGCCCTTCAATGGTCTGCTAGGCAATTCTCTAATCCAGCCCACTGGAAATATTTAGCATCACGTCCTTAAGGTTTGATACTCATCAGTTTCCAACTCCTGGGATCAGCAGCCTTAGAACACTGGCTCCTTTCTCCATGGAAGCAGAATTACTGTCATGGGCCCCTGAGGAAAGGCAGCCTTCCTGGTAACATTTGTTTCCTGTGTGAGATGCACAACAGGATCTTATATTTGTTTTGTTTGCAGATCTATATCACCACTGAGTAGCTGAACTATGACTGGTTCTCACAATATTTCACAGTTGTCTGTTATTTGAAATTTTCAGCAGGGGTATTTTATTCTCTCTGTGAAAGACTCTCCTGTCAGTCAGGACTGGTATAACATGCTCCAGGCTCCCCTCTACTGTTCAGCTTCATAGATGTCCATGAATACTTTCATCAAACGCTTCCGCCAAAGAACAAGTGAAAGTTGAGCACTGTCTAAAAAAGCAAACAGACAAGGTAAACAGCTACCTTGTCAACGATCCAGGGGGCAGTCCACAATCCAGCATCAGTTACAGCCTGACTGATGATCTAGGTCAGTGTTTCCCAAACTTGGGTCTCCAGCTGTTTTTGGACTACAACTCCCATCATCCCTATTTAGCAAGACCAGTGGTCAGGGATGATGGGAATTGCAGTCCAAAAACAGCTGGAGACCAAGTTTGAGAAGCACTGGTCTAGGTAACAAAATTTCTATAGGTGGCAGTGAGATTAAGAAGACATTTAAGCACCTGAAGTTCAAAAAAATATTCCCAGGGGCTTACTCTAAGTGTGTGTGTGTGTGTGTGTGTGTGTATTTGAGATGCTGTTAGTATGTTATACTTTTTGTATTTATCCTGTATTTAATAAGACTGTAAGGTTTTGTTGTGCTGTATTTTTGGTCATATTTTTGGTCTGATGAAGATAATAAACAGGAGAAGAAGAAGGAATGCATGTCATGATGGCACTTGTCTGAAGGTGCCTGTGGATCCTGTTAGCCATGAATGCCAACAACTCTGGAGCAGCATGGCCAGAAAAGAACTGGCAAAAGACTTTCCATTTTCCATGACTGATTCCACATTCTCTGCATGGATTTAGAGAATCAAGATCAATAACGGCATGCAGGCACATACTGCGGTGAGACCCATGACAGTTCTGCACCAGATCTCCAAATAGAGCCCCAGCACCCTAAGGCTGTTTCAATAAATTCAGAGCTCTCTTTGCCGCTACACATTCAAACGGCTTCCGTTTATATTTCAGGGGTCTCGCATTAGCTGAAGGGCTTAATTTTTCCAACTCCCATGAATACTACATTCCAAAGGCTGAAGAGAAGGATCCAGCTATCAAGAGGGAGGAGGGAAGAAATATTTTTTCCATTAGCGCTCACTGATGAAACTTCATCCAATCATTGACAGCATACCAAAGGATGGTCTCCCAGTATCCATAACAGTGCAATACAAAGTTGTTGATGTGTTCAGAGTTCAAATAATTTCATTATTTATTTATATACTGCTATATCATAAAACAACATCAAAGCAGTAGTATCTATATATATATAATAAAAACACACACATAAAATTAAAATCAGACACCATCAACTAACTATTATGGAAATATGTGTTCTTAATTGCCTGCATAAACATGGCAGAATAGAGGAATTTTCAGCAGGTATTTAAAGGTTGAAACAGAAGGCACCCATTGAATCTCTACTGGCAGAGTATTAGAGATTGACTACAGAATCATTTAAATTACACCCACACTGGACACAAACAGCTTATGAAAACGTTTCTTTCACCTTTCAATAATTATGTACAAGCCCCTGAGAATAACTGTGCCTTAATGCATTTGAGTACTATTTATGTGTGCACACGAGAGAAGGTAATAGCAGCAGTGAAGTCAAATGGTGACTTCAGTATCTGCTCCCCCCCCCCCCCCAATACAGTCGTACCTTGGTTTTCGAGCAGCTTAGTTCCCAAACATTTTGGCTCCCGAACGTCGCAAAGCTGGAAGTGACTGTTCCAGTTTGTGAACTATTTTTGGAAGCTTCCTGCAGGCAATCAGAAGCTGTGATTTGGTTTTCGAATGTTTGGGAAGTCGAATGGACTTCTGGAACGGATTCCGTTCGACTTCCAAGGTATGACTGTAAAAAGGAATGGCTGCACCCAAATACCGTATTTTTCGACCCATAGGACGCACCTAGTTTTTTTTGGGGGGGGGGAATAAAGAAAAAAATTATTTCCCCCCCAGGCATGGGGCTGGCGTGGGGGAAGCCCGAGCTTCCCCCGACCCCAGCCCCCAGAACAGCCTGCTATCCGCAAGCCTAGGGGGCCGCGCTGGTCTCCTCAGGCTTGCAGAGAGCTGCGCGAAGCCCGGGCGCGCTCTTCAGCGCGCTCCAGGCTTCGGAATGCAGGCAGCTCTGCGCAACCTTTGGGAGCCCGGCACGAAGTCGCGCCAGTCTCCCAAGGATTGTGCAGAGCTTCCTGAAGCCTGGAGAGCGAGAGGAAGCACTTTCCAGGCTTCAGAGAAAGCCTGCATTCGCCCCATAGGATGCACACACATTTCCCCTTCATTTTTGGAGGGGAAAAAATGCGTCCTTTAGGGCGAAAAATACGGTAAGCAATGTTAGATTAATAAGATAAGAAAGAAGCCTCTCCACTTTTTTAAAAAAACAAACTTGTACTGTCCTCCCCCCTTTTGGGAAGTTGGGAGAGGGGGATACAATGTGACTTAATATTGCCACCTTGCGGAAGAGGTGGTTTCTTAGATAAATTTCTAAACAACTTTTCATATTGTTCAGCCGTCATTTACGCTCGTGACAGAATTATGAGGCCAGTGGTTTGTTCTCTTTTTTTTAAGAATAATTTTTTATTAACCGACCAATCACATCAAATCAAACCAAATTACATAAATTCCAAATTACACAGCCGAATTTTAAATTTTTGTTGGGGGTACCCATATTTCAAGTTCCGAAGGGATCCAATCAACTTCTTGCTTTTACTGCTGTTTTAATGTCCACAAATCTAACCTTATGATGTTCACAGTACTATCCAGTCCTTTCTTATTATTTTTCCACATCTCTTGTTGTTATTTTCATATATTTTTCCTTTCTCTTTGTGACCTCTGATAGTCTCCGCAAGCTGGTTAGAACAGTTTGTAATCCTGCGTGAATATTATTTTTTTTTATCCAGTAGCCATATCCAGACGTTTTCCATATAACAACACTTCCATACATCAAAACAGTCTTAGCGTCATTAATCTTCACCAATCTGCCTCCTTTCTCAAAACCTCTGAGGAGATTCACTAGGAATGCAGTCTGAAAACAAATCCGTTCTTCCTCCCGGCTGTAAATCCTTTGGCAAGATGGCGACTCCGAATTAATTGCTACGCCATTCCCAAAAGCTCTTATTGCTTCTCGGTCTCCATAAAGCATACTTTTGGTTAAAGTTTATCTCCACACAGACCTTAATCATCCTGCGTGGGT